CCAGCATATTAATGACATAATGAGAAAAGCCACAGCCAGGAAGTAAATGGTAATTAGGGGAGGAGCAACACGTGGTCTTACTCCCTGCTACCCAGGGTCTGGTCTGTGGTCCACAGCATTAGCATTACCTGACAGCTTGTTAGAAATGCAGAGTCTCAGACCCACTCCCCCAGACTGATTGAATCTGTACATAACAAGATCCCTGGATTATTCAGATACATATTACATTGGAGGAGGTGCCTAAACCCACCCTTGGGAATAGGGGAGGAAGCAGGGAGAATGGGGAATGATTGGGATGTGGGTAACAGATGAGTTCAGACAGAGATGGACTTAAGCTATAAATTGAAAGGCTGGTACTGAGACTGCTTGCTTGGTACTTCTTTGATACCACAGACCTGAGAGAGCACCCACTCCTTTGGTCATAGTTATCAGGGAGTTTCCAATTTGGGCTGAACCATTCTTTGTCTGGGGGACTTCCCTGTCCACTATAGGATGTTTAACAGTAGCCCTGGCCTCTCTCTACCAGATGCCAGTAGCATTTTCCTATTCTTTCCATCTCCTTCCTTAGCTGTGCTGACCAATATTGTCTCCAGACATTGCTAAATGTTCCAGGGTGGGTGCAGAAAAGGGGCATATGTGTAAAGTCACCTCACTGAGAACCACTGAGTTAGACAGAGCAATTTCATGAATTCATGTTGCCTTACCTGTTCTACCTGGAACCATCGGTACATGGAAGGAAACCCCAGGACAGGGAGATGGTAGAGTTTGCTTTAGTGGTCAAGGTATAAATTTGCTGCTGTAATTGTACTCCAGCTTTCTTCTGCCACCCAGGAGAGAGAAGTCCCCAAAGGCAAGGAAGGTGGGTCAACAGTATTTTAGAAGGAAGCCAAGATAACAAGTGATCTGTCTGACTTCTAAGTCCATGTGACTTCCATTGCACCATGTTGCCTGAAGTTAGGAACTGTGGAAAGGGCTCTGGACCATGAGTGCTGAGACAGAAGTGCTAGCACCGGCTTGGTCCCTATTGGCTATTTGCCTATGGATGAGTCAACTTTCCTCCATGAACTTCCTTTTCCTGTTCTATGTGGGACAAAGTATTTCTCTCCCAATTTGATCATTCAATGAAGATCTTAGAAATAATAAAAGTTGTATTCATCCATTTCACAAGGCTGAACTCCCAAATAGGAAACATAAATTTAGTCAAGACAGATTTTGGTGATGGCTAGCTCCTAGCTAGGCTTAAAAGGGACAAGGCTGCAGGAGGACCAAGAAGCCAGGACAGAAGTCCCACCATTAAATAACCTGATCAGAAAATGGACAGGACAGTGAGTTCCAATCAAAGCATCCAAAATAGGGTGATGTGGATTGATAGTTGTCCCAGATCCTTCCAGATTGGGAATTCTGTGATCCTGAGGCTGTTGAAGCCACCCTTCCCCTAGGGGACACTCAGATGGGGGATGCTGAGTCTCGGTAACCAAACCATCCTTAGTCCTTGGGTTCTCTTCAAATTATTTGCTAGATGATAAATAAAACTGAGTCTCTTCTAGGCTTTTCTTGGCACAGAGCTACATCTGAAGAAACACAAATCCAATTCCTTAAAGCTTTAGAAAGAAACAACACCATACTAAAGGGAAGCAGAAAAAGAGAAGTTAGGTGACACAACACATCCCAAGGCTGTCTAAATTTAATTCACATTCTCTCCCTGCAGGCCCTCTCCTCAACACACCTCTCAACCTCCCTTCTGCCATGGCCACGCTGGCCTTGACATTCATTATCTCTATTTCCTGTCCTTCCCAAATACAGTAGCCTGTCTTATATGGAGCCTTTGGCTTCCTCCCAGCTTCTCTCTCCTCCCCACTACATACCCTGGATAGCATCACAGAATCCCAGTCACTACCTCTCTCTGCTAGAAACAGATCTGGCTGCATGAATCAGAAAACTAAAATTATCAATGCCTCAAACACACAAGTTCTCACATATCAGAATTCTGGAAGTCATCAGTCCAGGGCTAGTCTGGTAGTCCCATTATACCTTCCATTTTCCCTTCTGCCACATCTGGGAGGGGTCCCTGTTGTCATGTCTGGAATGATTGTTGTAGCATCAGTCACTATGTAGGGATCCAGCTTCAGAAAAGAGAAAAGGGGCTTAGAAGGGCATACATCCACCATTTAGGGGCACTTTCCAGAGTTTTGCTAGAGTTTACAATGAAAGATGAAAAGACTTTTGATCCTGCAGCAATAAAAAGAAAAACCTGCCAAAATTAAAACAATACTTTTCTACCAGCTCTGTCAGTCTAGCAAAGAGCAAAGGATTCAAGAAATCCCAATTAACTGCATTCCAGAAGGAAACAAGCCCTTCATAGCTGAGCTGCCCTGCCTGAGAGGGGCGGGGAGATAGTCTAGGTACATGTGGCAAACCATGAGAAAAGAGATTGTCCAGGGGTGAGCAGGAATCAGCCTCGACTTAGCAGACTGTGTGTCTGTCAAGGTGGATGAGAGAAACGTAACTACTATCCATGGTACAGAACCACGGACATGTCTTGTGAGTTTGAACTAATACAACATGGGGAGCTGGTAGAAGAGTCCACACTAACTGTTGCCTCTGTAACTAGTGTTCAGCTGGAAGTGATTAGAGGTCAGATGGATTGGAAGTCAGAAAGAAGGTGCAAAGTGGACGAAGGGAAGGGCAAACAGGAATCAGAGGGATGAATGGGGACACATAAGGAAAACTGAATGCCACAAAAACAAACTGGAATCCCTGTCACCCTTTCCAAATGCACTCCTGTGGTTGACCCACAGAAGAACCTAGCACCCTTTGCCTTAGGGGTGCACAAGCACTTGACCCACAGCTCATAGAGAATGAAGAGGATCTCATAAGCACTAAAAGAGCCAGGGCTCAGGTGCTGCCCATAGCAATTCCAATTCCTGGTGCCCTCACTGACCTTCAGGTGTAAAACAATATAGCTGCAGCTTCACTTCTATCTTCCAGGTCTTGTACAAATTGCCTCTTGTGGCCTAAACTAACCCAGAAGCACAAGGAAAGAAGTTCTACCTCCAGTGCAGAGAAATTGATGACCCATCAAGCTACCACAGACTGTGTGTGCTGGCAGGATGGGGTTGAATCTGGAAAAGACCCAAAAACAAAGATAAATTCCTCAAACCAACAATAGTCCTCTTGCCAAAAATTTTGTTAAGGTAGCAAGTCATGAAGGAAAGGCAAATACATGGAGACAGATCACTTAGCTCTGCTCAACTTCAGGTTGATTGGATTGAGGAACCATGAGAAGTTGAATGCTAAATGAAGCAAAAATATCTGAAACTGCAATCCAACTTCCCCCAACTCAAATCTTGACCAGATAAAAAGAACATAAAGAGGGCTGGGGATTTAGCTCAGTGGCACCATGCCTGCCTCGAAAGTGCAAGGTCCTGAGTTCATTCCCTGGCACCAAAAGAAAAAGGACATAAGGTTGGAATGAGTCAATCATAAATGAAATCCATCCAATTAAGACTGCACCCCAATCAGACTCTAGAAAGAATCTGAATGATTAACCCCTCATCCCATCTGCAAGACAGAAGAGCTTCTCTGGAAAACAAACAAAACAAAATTTAAACCAATTAAAAAACATGAAGCATGCAAACATGTAAAAATCAACAACCAAAAGTCAAGAAAACCAATAGTCAACAGAAGCAGATCCACAGATGACCTAATTATTGGAACTGCTGAAGAAGAAATTTAAATCAATTGCTATAAATATGTTGTAGGAAAAGATGGAGATGATAGATGAATAAGATATATTATTCCAACATGAAAATAGAAATAAAAAGTTAAAATTGAAAAAAAATTTAAATAGATATTCTAGAATTGAAAAATCATAGCCACATGCATAGTCCCCAATTTATAATGGCTCAGTTTATGGTATTTCAATTTTACAGTGGTACAAAAGCAAACCATAGGAACATTCTGTTTTTCACTTTCTGTACTATGTTCAATAAGTTACACGAGATATTCCACACCTTATTATAAAATACTTTATGTTGGATGCTTTTTTCCCAACTGTACAAGTATTCTGAGTACATTTGCGGTAGACTAAGCTAAGCTATGCTATTTGGTGGGTTAGGAATATTAAAAATATTTTTGACTTATAATATTTTCAATTTATCAGTACACAACCCCATCATAAGTTAAGGAGCATCTGTACATTATGGCACTTTTGACATGTAAAAGTAAAATAGGACGGCAACAGTACAAAAGATGGGAAGATATAAAGTTTCTTATACTATTCATGAATTTAAGACTGAAATGAAATAAAGATACAGATCTAATCCCCGGAGAAACCATTACAAAAGTATTAAGAGATATAACTAAAAGCCCAGTAAAATACATAAAATAAAAATCAGAAATGGGCCGGGGATTTAGCTCAGTGGCCCCACACCTGCTTTGCAAGCACAAAGTCCTGAGTTCAATCCCTGGTACCAAAAGAAAAAAACATCAGAAATATACTTGCTTAAACCAAAGAAGACACAGAAGCATAAGCCATAAACAAGGAAATTGATAACTTACATTTCATCAAAATTTAAAACTTCCACTCTTTTGGAAAACACTGTTAAGCAAGCCACAGGCTGGAGGAAAATATATGTAAAATATACAAGTGATAAAGGACTTATATTCAGAATACATAAAGAAGTTACAACTCACTTAAAAGGTAAAACCAAATGAAAAAAGCAAAGATTTGAGTAGACATTTCACAAATACAATATATAGATGGCAAATAGCTCATAAAAATATACTTAGTGTTATTGGCCAAAGAAAAATGCATGTTAAAGCCACACTAATGTATGTATTACAATGGCTAAAATAAAAATGATTAACAATATTTAGTGTTGGTGAGACTATGCAGCAATTAGAATTCTCATACATTGATGGTAGAAAATAGAAGTTTCTTGTACACATTGTACACAAATGTTCATAAAAACTTTATTCATAATAAATCCAAACTGGAACCAACCCACCATTTGTGCCATTTATCAGCTAACAGATGAATAATTACATTGTAGCACTTCCATATAATGAAATGTTACCTATTAAAATAAACCATTAGTGATACACACAATTATGTGGATAGATCTCAAAAACAATATGTTAAGTGGAAAAGCTAGATACAAAAGAATACATACTATATAATTCTATTTATGAGAAATTCTACAAAAGGCAAAATTATAATGACAAAAACACATCAGTGGCTGGTTGAAGTCAGGAGTCAAAACAAAAAGATGAAGATTGGCTCCGAAGAGTCATTTAGAGCACCTTTGGAAATAAGAGAAATGTCTATGCTGTTCAAGGTGGTGGTTAAACAGGCATATGAATCTGTGAAAACTCTGGATTCCATACTTAGAAATGTGTCATGTGACATGTAAATTATGACTCAATAAAAAAGCTTTTTGAAAACCACAAGCAGCCCAATTTTACAATGAGCAAACATTTAAACAGACACCACATGTAAGAATATGAATGGCAATAAGCACATGAAAATGTTGAACATCACTAGTCAACAGTCAACTGAGAAATGGAAATGAAAACTGCAATATATACCAATAAGATGTCAATATACATCCACTAGAGTATATAAAATTAGAAAGACCAATAATATTAAATGTCAGTAAGGACACAAAGCAACTGAAACTCTTGCATGTTGCTGATAGTGCGTAAAATAGGACAGCCACTTAAGAAAACTCTTTGGCAATGTCTTACAAAGTTAAACATACTTCTACCCACTAATTCAGCAATCACTTTTCTAAGAGAATGAAAATACTCCAAAATGAACATAAATATCATGTACTGCAAACATACCAATAAAATAAATTAATTAAATTAAACTTAAAATGCATGGGGTTGTAACTCAGTAGTCAGAATCCTTGCCTACTATGCCTGGGTGCAATCCCCAGCATACATATTGATTTTTTAAAATTTCATCTGTACTCAATATGTACATTTTTCTTGTTATTATTCCCTAAATAATACAGTATAACAACTATTATATGGCTTTACATTGTATTAAGTTCTATAAGTCATTAGAGATTATTTAAAGCACACAGGGAGGATATATATAAGCTATGCAAATACTACACCACTTTATAGAAAGGACACAAGCATCTGTGAATTTTGGTATCTCTGAGGTGGGCAGGTGTTCTGGAACACCATTCCCCCCATAGACACTGAGGGACAAATGTAGTTCCATGTTTTAAAAATATGAAAAAAGGAGCCAGGGATTTAGCTCAGTGGTTTCGCCGCCTCCTGCGCAAGCGCAAGGACCTGAGTTCGATCCCTGGTACCAAAAAAATATATATATATGAAAAAAAAAGAAAACAAAGGAGTTGAACAAACCACTTCTGCTTGGATCTCATGACCAGAGTGTGGTCACGTGGCCATACTTGGTCTCAGAAGAGACTGGGAAATGTGGTCTTTATTCCAAGTGGTTCTGTGCCCATTTAAAATTTGGTGGTATTTTTATAGTAGACTCAGAGGAGAGACTTGAAGTAGAGAGAAAATGAACAGTGTCTGCCATTGGCCACACGAGTCAGTGATCCTCCTTTTCAGAGAGGTGGGCTCCAGGAAGGTGTCAAACACTCACCATGCAATAACTCTTCTCCTTTTCACTGTCAGTACCACTTTCTGTAATTGTCAGGATTGGCTTTTCCATACTATAATCAGGGAAGGCTGCTGTTTCCTCAGTGACCGTAAGAATGTGCCAAGGGCACATGGGGTGACAAATGGAAAGGAGCATAAAGGACAGAGGGCAGTTGGCTGGGAAGGAAATGAACAGCCTTGGGAGTATGAATGAGAATGGAAACCTGCACAGGACACTTGGCATGTGTGACATCTGTCACTCTCCAGAGTGACAAAAGAGGAAGCCACCTCTTTTGTGTTTAAAACTCATCTTGGCTCCTGTTGGGGGCCTCACAGGCCTGTCTTGAGTTCAGCCTGTAATGAGAGAGGCAGCAACAGCAGCATCTGAGCCTCTTGAAGTCCTTCATCCTGCAAAGATGCCACTGGGAATGTCTGAGCTTCCTCTTGATAGATAAACTCATGTTGGCAGTGCCACGGCTGTAGACTTTCCCACAGAGCCTCTCATTCCCTAGGCAGGACTTAGAAAAGGGAGTGACTTCATTTCCCATGGGAACTGCGCAGGGTGGATGTCACTGCTACCAGTAATCCTGTACCTTATGCTCTTGAAGTCTCCTTCACAATCAGTCAGAAAACAAACACGTATCGAGTTCCTGCTTTATCTGGCTCTGGCCTCAAAGCTGGGAATGAAGAGAAACCATAGAATTGTATCCTGGCAGGGGTTAACCTCCTGCTCCTGGCCCATCCTCTGGCACTGATGTCAGCCAGTACCACGCCCAAGAACCCCAGGCCCACGCACTCAAGGAACGAGCCCTGTCTGTCCTCAGCCACCTCCTTCTCCCATTGCCCCACACTGGCCCTGCTACCAGCCCACTCCCGCTCAAGCCAGACACAACCTCTTTCCCAATATAGATAGATGAGAGATGAGCAGGGTCTGCTTCGTGACACTGGTCCATGGGCTGCCTCCGAGATCTGGCCGCAAGGGGAATGGACTGGAAATTGCTTGGCCATTATCTTTGCTGACAACCCCCTCCTCGTCTTTTTGCTATAATGAATTGCACAGAGCGCTCAGCTGTCATGAAAGCTTTTGAATTCCAGCCCTCCCGTCCTCCCGGACATCCTTAGAGGTTATCTCAGCAAGGCAGGTGGAAGAGGAAAGAGAAAAGCTTAACCCTATAAGAATAATTATGATGTATTATTAGCAACTGATGGCAATCTAATGCAGGATTTTCAATATAGACGCTACTGACTGTAATTTTTCTCTGTCATAGGTGCACACACAAAAGGGCTACATTTAATGACTCCGAAGTTCAGAGCAGTTTTTCAAACTAAATTTAATTCCTTAGAAGCAGTGTCTTAATACAGGGTGCTTTAATAAAATAGAGATATGGTTTGAATATTGAAGGCACTTTTCAGGACAGAGAGGAATGTTATGATTAGTGCGTTTGTATGAAGAGACCACTGGTTGGTGTGGAGTTTGTGTGGCCATCATGTGCAGAAATGAAAGCAACACTCAAAATGGCAGAACACATCTGCCTTGGGATGGAACATGCAGACAGGAAGTGCATCTTCCTCGTTTCTCTGGCTCCAGCTCCTGGCTCAACGCTGGGCACAAGGAGAGGTTTGATAAATGATTGCTGGCTACATAGATGAGTGTGTGGATAAATGAATCATTTGATGGATCAATGGATGTATACAGACCCACCTGCTCTATTTTAATGTGTCAAGAAACCAATCTTGTTAGATGCTGAAAGGCTAGGGCTATAAACTCAAAACATGGCACTGTGAATGCCTGGAATATGTTTAGCTTGCTTAAAAAGTATCAATAACTGTGTCAGTAAATTAGTCTTTTATGCTTCTCTATTCAGGTCAGATTTGGAATGCAAAAAAACCCAGAAACCTCTTGGGCTGGGAATGTAGCTCAATGGTAGAACTCAGCATGTTTGAGTCCCTGGGTTCAAAGATGAAAGAGAGGGAGGGAGGAAGAGGGAAGGGGGAGAGGGAGAGAGAGAGGGAAGGCGAGCAGACCCCCTGGGACAAGGGTTCAGGTCCAGATGCTTTATTTGGAGGTGATCCCATTTTGTTCAAGAGAGGAAGTAGGGAAAGTGAGACAGGAAAAGAGGAAAAATAGTAATGTGTACAATGACAAGTAAGTTACTGCTGTGGGCAAATGGCGCTCAGTCTCACTGGGGTCCCTCTGGGAAATCAGGTGAGGAAATGACCCCCAAAATATCCTGTCAGGACAAAAAAACGGACTTCCCCACAAAATCCTGTGCTCTACTGGCTGAAAGCTGCCCTAGGACATTAACACCTTCACCCTAAAAATTGACCCTGTACTTAACATATTCTGGTGCTGTAGAAAGCTCTCATCAGAGAGCAAGACTGGCTCAGGCAACTCAGGAAAGAGGCTGGGCACTGCCTGCCACAGCTGCAGCTGGAACCAGACAGGCTGAAGGTATGGAATGGTGGAGGTGGAGCACCAACAGCACTTAACAGGAAGGTATTGAATATAGGGAATTAGCTACTCGGGACATCCCTGGGCAGGCCAGAGGAGTCTTCCCAGAGTGCCTCCCAGAACAAAGAGACAGACCATATGGGTCACCATCACAGACCTTTGACCTCTGAGGCCACTACTGCTGCTGATATTGCCACCACAACTGTCTTTCCAAGGCCAGGAGGCTACAGAATGGACTCTGCAATGTAACCACAGAAAATCCTCAACTTATATAGCCTTATTTATCATCAAAAGTCAGTCTAATGGGGCAGGGAAAAGGCTTCTGCCATGCTTTCCCTTCCCAGGTTTTGCAGGCTGCATTTAACTGACAGAACCTAATTTGCATCCAGGACCAGAGCTATAAGAATCTAGGGAGTGTGGTGTTCAGCTTCCCAACCTCTATAACCTGAGGAGGGTACAATGAGTCTGAGGAAGCCAGCGTACTCTGTCCACCACACTATCTAATGATCCACCCACTGCCTGTGCTTCCACCACTACCCTGAGCCCCTCCATGGGGAGCGCACACACTGTATCCCCTGCTCTGCCCATTTATGGGAGCCAGAATCAATGAGGACGAGAAATACAAGACTTCCTGCTCTGTGCTGCAGCCACATAAGTCTCTCACTTTCTCAGACGCATTAAGCTCTCCCCAGTCACAGGGCCTTGGCACATACCAGTCCCTTTGCTAGAATGGTCTCCACACCTCACCCACCACCCTCTTCATCTAGTGAATGTTAGCCACTGAATTACAGTTTGAATATTACCCCCTCCAGGAAGACTTCTCTGACTCCGCAGACAAGATCAACTTCCCCAGTATCTGTTCACTTACTACTTAAGCATTATTAACCGGACACCCTGCCCCACACCAGCCAACCATGCACCAGTATGCCTAGGAGTCTTTAGGTCTAAACTGAATCTGACACGGGCTACCCTTCAGACTCTCTAACCCCTAATCACCCCACCAAGGCACACACAGCCTTTTTTCTCAAAGGGGCCCTGAAACCGCCCATGACAGTGGTGGCAAACCTATGGCACATGTATTATTTGTTTTCCTTTTAAGACAAAAGATGTTAATGTATGAGTTGTTTTTGCTAAACTAAAACCTCAGTATTCAGGTTTAATTGAAGTGTTTGCACTTTGCAATAAATAAATGAGTTTGGAGCTGCAGTTTGGGCACTCGTCTCTAAAAGGTTTGCCATCACTGGCCTATGATCTTCACGATGTTTGCTTCATCTACACATGACAATTTTACCCTAACATTGCAATCTTATCCTACAGGTATCTTCTCTGTTTATACTTTACTGAATACATGACCAAGCGGTTAAAGACATGGGCTTTGGATCAGGCAGACCTAAGTTCCAGTCTTGCCTCTGCGACTTACTAATCATGTCACTATGTTACTTCACATCCCTGAGCTTTGGTTTTGTTGCTTTCTAGCAGGGGTAATAAACACCAAGCCTGGAGAGTTATAATAACAAAATCAAGTAAGAGAGTGAACCATTGCCTAACCCCAAAGCTACATGATGCCCACCTTCACCATCATTTGGGCTAGAAGGACTTAGGTGACATGGCGCAAGGTTCCTTGGCACTTTGGTTCTCCCTCCCTCCTTCCCTTTCTTCTTTGAACCCAGGGACTCAAACATGCTGAGTCATTTCTAACCCTTCCTAGGAAGAACAGAGACGGCTTTTGCAACTCTAAATAAGAGGGAGTCAGGAATCCTTCTAGACCAGTGATGGTGAATCTTTTAGAAACCAAGTGCCAAAACTGCAACCCAATACCCACTTATTTATCACAAAGTGCTAACACTGCAATTAAACCTGAATGCTTGGCTGCTGGCTCAAGGCTGGGGCATCTTGGCTTCCTGAGGTGACGTGGCTTGTGTGCCAAGAGAGAGGGCTCTGTGTGCCCACTGCAGCACACATCCCATAGGTCTGCCAGCACTGTTCTAGACTGCTCTGCACCTGGATCTAACAGCCGGCATAGAGCCCACAGGATGGCATTGTAGCACACTGACTTGCCCTTTTGGAAAGCAATATGGAATTATTTATCAAAAGCCAGAAAAACACCTCTACCTCCCGACCCAAGAAGTAATTATACTTTTGGCCTACATGTTAAAAGAATAAGTTAAGGAAAGCGTAAGTTTTCTTCATGAAGGTGTTCATTACCATAGCTCAAGATTGAAAGTCTCTCCTATATCGGCAATGAAGGATTGGTTTGGCAAAGGAACATGCTGGGATTTTGTAGCCATGAAGAGTCATTGTGAAGTCTCTGTAGAAACATGGGACAAAATGTTTCCGATCAAATGTGAAAAAGTTATGTCTAGTGTAGGGTCTGCCTAACAATCCAAAGGCCAAAAATAGAAGAGTTATGAAGACTGAGGGGATTTTAAGTAAATTCTCTTTAGCATTCATTTTAATGCCACATTGTTTTTACAGGTTGAAAATAACCACCTTACTGGGCATCTTCTAGCAGATGACTGGAAGTCTACAAAACTCACAGAAACAAAAGTCTTGATTCATAAAAACAAAAATGTACTTCCTAAATAGAACAGTTTTGATGCACAGAAGTTCACACTTCAGGTACAATGCCCTGAACAGACGATATAAAAAGCACTGCTGAGAACAAGTTAGTGGGAAAATTTGAGCCTCTTCGAACCTAAAAAGGGGAGGAACATTAAACATCATTTAAAGGCTCATAAACTCTTTAAGTGAGTCTTAGACTCATGATGAGACAAACAGGCCAGGTGCACCCTTCAGAGGCATGAGAAGTACAGGAGCCCCACTTTGGGTACCATGGAGGGAGGTAGAAACAGCCAGAAATGTGCACCCAGACAGCATTTGGGTGAAAGCTAAAAGGGATCTACAACTTTGCTTGAGTTACAGCATTGCATTCAAATATTTCCTCTCCAGCAGTGGAGCAGGGTTCCTCTTTCCCCACAGCCCTGACAGCACTTGTTATTGGTTGATTTCATGATAGCAGCCATTCTTTCTGGGGTGACGTGGAATCTCAGCATTGTTTTCATTTGCATCTCTCAAATGACCAGTGACCTTGAACATTTTTTCATATGTTTATTTGCTGTTTCTACTCCTTTGTCTGAGAAATGTCTGTTCATTCCAGATACCCATTTTTGGACTGGATCTTTCAATTTGGGAGGTCTGATTTTTTAAAGTTCTTTATAGATTCGAAATAGTAGACCTTTGTCTGAGGGACAGCTGGTGAAAATTTTTTCCCAAATTGTGGGTTGTCTCTTCACACTGTTGGTGGTTTCTCTTGCTGTGCAGAAGCTTTTTAATAAGAAGAGATCCCACTTGTTGATTGTTTGTGCTAGTTCATGGGCAACTGAGGTTTTGTTCATAAAATCTTTTCCTACACCAATGTCTTCAAGACTTCTACCTAACCTCTGTTCCAGCCGGTTCAGCGTTTCTGTTTTAATATTTAGATCTTTAATCTATTTTGATTTTAGTTTAGTGTATGGTGAGAGATATAGGTCTAGTTTTAATCTTTGGCAAGTTGAAATCCAATTTTTCCAGCACCATTTATTAAAGAGGCTATCTTCCCTCCAGTGAGGGTGTTTGGCTCCTTTGTAGAAGAGGAGGTGGCTGAATGTGTCTGGGGTTGTTTCTGCATCTTCTAATTTGTTCCACTGGTCCTCAGGTCTGTTTCTTTGCCAGTACCATGCTGTTTTTATCAGAGTAGCTCTGTAGTATAGTTTTAAGTTGGGGGTTGTGATACCCCCTGCCATGTCTCTGTTGCCTAGAATTGCTTTTGCTATTCTGTCTCTTCTTGTTCCAAATGAATTTTTGGATTGTTTTCTCAAGGTCCATGAAGTATGCTGCTGGAATTTCAATTGGTATTGTACTGAATCTATATAGCAGTTTTGGAAGTATGGCCATTTTCACTATGTTGATTCTTCCTACCCAGGAGCAAGGGATGTCTTTCCATTTTCTTTTTTTTTTTTTTTTTTTTTGGTAGAGTGCAGACTGGTGCAACCACTGTGGAAATCAGTATGGAGGTACCTCAAAGAACTAGGACTGGAAGTCCCATTTGACCCATCTAGTCCCCTCCTGGGTATCTTCCCCAGAGAATTAAAAGAATCATACCACAGTGATATATGTGCACCCATGTTCATAGCAGGACAGTTTGTAATAGCTAAAACTTGGAAACAGCCCAAGTGCCCATCAACTGGAAACTGGATAAAGAAAATGTGTTTTTTTAATAAGATGGAGTACTACTCAGCCATAAAAGAACAAGAAATTAGAAACATTTATTGCTAAGTGGATGCACATTGAGGCCATACTCTTAAGTGAAATAAATAGGACACACATGTGTAAAGGCCCAATAGTTTCTCTAGTGTGAGAAACTGAAAGTGTAAATAAGGGCTAAAAGGTATAATAGATGTGAAATAGGAAAAAAAGGGCAAAGGGGAAGGGGAAGTGGGAGGGGTAGGGGAAAGGAAAGAAGGGAATGGAATTAACATGAGAAAATGAAAAAATGGAAACAAAGTCCTTGTAAATAGGGAGGGACGGAGGGGTTGAAGGGAGGGCAGGGGAAGGGGGAAAAAATAAGAACCAAGAGAGATCATGTAAAGGTGCAAATTTCCAATGATGAATGTCATTATATTGTATACTTAAAATGTACCAATAAAATAAAAATTTTTTTACAAAAAAGGAAAAAAACAAACAAACAAATATTTCTTCTCCAGTCCTTGAATAAGAAGTCGACTCAGGGATGTTTGTGCTATGAAAACACCCAGAAGCAGGTCTTGCTCCTGATTTTCATAAATTAGCAACACTTTCAGACTTGGGAATACATCAGTCTTTAGCACTATGGCTTCCAATAACCAGAATTCCAGACTTTTAAGAAAGAAGAGAAACAGGATGAAATCTAAATTCATTCATAGCCAGTTGAGGTAGAATACATTCAGTCTGGTCTCCTGGTGGTTGTATCCATAAAACTACAATAAAATTCAGTATTCAGAAAGTCCCTGTTTGGCCTTCCAGGCCCCTCGGTATCACACTCAGGTGCTGCATAAGGGCTGGCCAGAACAGATAGGTGTCTCTGGAATAGGCAAAGGAAGAGCCTATGTGGGCAGGAGAGCCCCCCTTAGGAATGCCCGGGAGCAGGAAGTTGGCCAAGGAGCACCTGCAATTATTGTTGAACTAAACATGGGACCCTGCATTCTAAAGCAGGAGGGTATAAGGTGAAGACGGGCGGGTCCTAACACACCAAGCCAGAGCATCACTTGATGGGACACAGCATAACACAGAGGGGAGGAAGCAGCAGGCTAATGGGACCTTGCTGTGAAGGCAAAGGGTCTGAGAACAGCAAGCAAGAGGCTGTCAGAGAATTATTTCTGTTCTCATCAGAGCTGAAGCTGTTCTCATCTCTCAGTAGCGTCCCTGGGAGCTTGGGACCATGTTTGTCAGCCCTTGCCCCAGGGTCAGGCCAGAGCCCCTCAGAGGTTTGGACAGGTGGCCATTGTCTTAGTTGGGGCTCCCCTGGCAACAGTCCCAAGATAAGGTACAGAATTTACTTGGGAAGAATAAATGAGTGGAAGGGTGGGGCGTGAGGCCACGGAGGAGGTCACCACTAACCCTAACAAAACTTCTCCCAGTAAACTAGGAATGTCCAGGAAGCTACTACTGTAGGCCACTAAAGCTTAATCCCCTTGGGGAACGCTAGGTGGCAGTACAGACACTCCCACCCCGAGTTAGCCCATCTGAGGGATGAGGGAGCTGGGGTACGTGTACCCCTCACTTCCTGGTTGAGGGCCACATGGGCAGGGAGCATTAATTTCCTGCCATTTCTAACAGGAGCAGCCAGGGCAAGCGAAGTGATTTCAAGGTCACAACAATGAATGGCATCTTACTGGCGCTAACAATGAGAGCAGGTGAGCAGGTCACCAACTGTGAACGTTGTCTGATCCAGCGGTGCACACTGGTAAGTGGTCCTCCCAACAGCTCACCCAGCTCTAGCCACAGCGCCCCCCACCCCATAATGGAGAACTCACTACCCACCTCCCAAGGCAAGCTGGTATTTCTGTTCTTGGTGAGCTTCCCATGGGGGAAAGTGCTCCCCGAGGCGAGCTGACATTAGGATGTTAGGCTCCCCACGGTCTCCACCTGCTGGTCTCAGCGTTGCTCTCCAGACCTGGCGGAACTGGAGCCAGCCGCCCTCCTCCAGGAATTCAATTCTGTTCACGATGGCGGTTCTTCACTCAGGCAAGACGGCAGAGCAAGCAAATGTGCTTTAGAAAGAATCCCGCAAAGGACCTTTCAAACCAGAGAGAGAGAGAGATTTGAGTTAATTAATACCAGAGTTCAAGTAATCAAGCGAGCCCACTCCTGGCCCTTCTACTGAAGGGAGCATCCATGGCAGGTGCAGTGTTCTTATCAGGCAGGCCAAGGGTACATCCATTTATTATAGACTACGAGGCTTAAGTTCAATATCAAGATGAAAGCCAAACCAAGGCTCCCTGGGAGACAAGGAGCTCTGCTTTCACAAGCCAAGAGGGGAGAATATTGCCTTTCAGCAAATAGTACTTCTAATTTGATCCCACAAAGATTCCTGCGAAGAGGAAAGCCAAGTGATGTCAGAGAATGTGGAGTGTGCATACTTCTCTATGGATGTTTTATCGTGGCCAGTCTTCAGGCTCTCAGTCATCAATTATTTCTGACAGGCATCAATTGTTTATCTTTCAAGAACATTACCACTTACTTCCCTTTATATATCTTTCCTGCATTACTGTAGGGACAAGATCATCTATTTTCTCCTCTTCAAGCCCTGCTGTCACTTACTGCCCAGTGTCTGGTGTAACATCCTGACATGATGGGCTTTGTGACACAGTGAGAGAAATCACTTTGTGCTCCCCTCTCACCTAGGGGTACAGAGAAGAGCACCGAAGCCAGCATTGCATTCGGCCGCACACCACAGCCCTGCTAGGAGAAATTCGCCTCTGTGTTGGAACAGGTGTTCCTAGGAGATCCCCAGAGAAGCCAGCACAGCTATAACCAACGACACCCCCTGTCCCACCCCTGCTCAGAAGAGAAGCAAGTTTCTCCCACGGAAATTATTTTTTTCTTAAAACACCAGCCTGAAATAATTGCGTATTTGTTGAGGATTGACAGCAGAGTTTTTCATGAATTTTGCTATCTTTTGACAGTGGCAAATAAATAGGTAGAGAAATGCACTCTCTTGGGGCTTTTAACAGAAAAAAAAATCGCAGTAGGAAAATTGCACGAATGAGCATGGCAGTATTTCCATACTTTGCTGCACTTACAGGGAGAAAATGGGCATTAAGAGTAACAGGGTTGTTATAAAAACAGCAGTTCTATTTCCAGGTCTTTCACTTGCCAAAAGCCTCAATACAGTCACTGAAAGTGGAAGAAAGCCAAACCTGGATTTCTATAATATGCCTCGCAAACAATTGGATTTATTCTTAATGGGGCCTTGCTGCATTTTTACGTTATGCAGCATGTAATTAGCTATTAAACGACTTAGAAATAACAGACCCTGATTTGTTGGGCAGATGCCTGATGAATGATTTCATGCTGTTCTTTTAAACCATGGCAGTGTTGACTGCAATTTAGTGGTAAAGTTGTAGGGTTTTTGTGGGGAGACAGGTGAAGGATCTTCCAGTTTGAGAAGCTGAAATGATAGTGTGGTATTAATTGGACACTTTTTCACAGACCTGCAGTCTCCAAGGCACTTCTGAGTGACACAAGTTGAATTCAATCTCTGTACATGGTGCTTCCGATTCTCCCAGGTCATCTGCTCCCCAGAACAAAAGATACCAGACAGAGTCCCCCTTTTTCTGTAATGTCAGAGGCCTTGTGGGGATTGAATTAGAATCAATGAATTCATGAAACTCCTACCTTATGTTCAGAATGGCTGATGCTGGGAGTGACAGTGCCGTTTGTTGAGATATTCATCTGAATTTCATTCTTGATGCATTTTTCACATGTGTCCCCATACCCCCCTCCAAGACTGTACTCAGGGCCAGAGTGTCTCTCATCAACTCAAAGGAAGCTGGCACAGCCAGGGTCTAAGATAGAGGCTGCTTGCAGAAACCTTGTCTATCTGTCTTCTGTGAAGTGTCAGCTCATTAAGTGGAGATGCTGGCATCCAGGAGATAGGAAGGCAGAGCCACATGTCTCTGAGGAGGGCAGAAGCAGCAGGCAGTTGGTGACAGAAGGTGCTTCTCCAAGCCTGAGAAGAAGGTAGCAGTCCCTGGGTTCTGGATAGAGACCCAAAGCACCCCAGAGGGTGACAGGGCCTTGGGGGAAGTGACTTTGAAGACCACCCTGCAGCTGGACAAGGGACTGGCTGGGGCCCTATGGGTCCAGGGCCGCATGCAGGCACCTAAAGAGGCTGAAGGAGCCAGCTCAGCACAAGACTCTCGGGCCAGGAAGAAGGAGCCCCATCAGGATGGCCATCCCCAGTGGCCACAGATCAGGGGTGTAGAGTCAGAGTTGATGCAGATTTAAAGAGAAATTAAGCCATTTGTTACACTCCAAGCTCACAGGGCAGCAACTAGGTCTGCACAATTACTAGTCCTGACTGATGGCCTAGGGGATGGTCACCTTCTCCAGTCATCATCACTATCACCTGTACCAGGGGTCAAGGCTGAGATAAGGATGACAACAACTGGGGTCCTTCTCAGCCCCCAGCCCACTCACCCTGAAGTGGCAGCCGGAAAGCCTACCAGAGCCAAGGGCTGGGGCAGGACCATTCCTGGACCCCAAGCCTCACCACCCCTTCACGCTTTTTCCCATAAGCAGCTTCTTGGCCAGGATCTCCACTCTGACTCCTACCCTGGGGGAGTAGTGTTCCCCTGAACCCTCTAAAGCATGCCCCATGCAGATTTGTGTGCTCAGGGTACAACAAGGAGTGAAATAGATGTCCCTACCTTCCCTGGCCCCCAAGGAATCTCTGCCCAACTCCCTGCTCCCCCTTCTGAGTACTTCAACAGCTGGAACTTGTATCCTGACAGGCAGCCCTGCATACCCTAAAACAGCTCAGGGCCCAGAATCCCTTGCAACATAAAACCCAGCCATAAAGTCCAAGCCGCCATCTTGGAATAAAGAAGGAAAAATACCAATTATGGTGAGGGAAAAAAAGCATAAATAAATATCTCAATATGTCATTCAATATGAGTAGTGCCAAGCACCATAGGGTATACTCGAGGAAAGAGTGCTTCTGGCCTGGGAGTGGAGGAGGTGGGTGGGTAGAAGGCCCAGTAGCCAGAGATGGAGTATATCATGGTTTTCATCTTCTACACTCTGCTTTAAAATGTGGACTATTCTGCACAGGATGACAGCGGAAGAAACCAACTGTTGCTCAGGCCTTGCTGATAGGACCAAAAGTAGGACATTCTTTCACAAGCAATTAGTCAAAACATTTCAAGGGCCATAAAGTCCTTCTAACCTTTGATCCAATAAGCTTACTTCAGGGACTGTATCTCTAAGGAATGGATTTTAAAAAAAGAAAATAGTAGACTAGAATAAATAAACACCTACTCTATGCCAGAGGCTATTCCAGCCTCCTTATATGATTCTCACAACCATAGAAGGTAGATATTATTACTACATCTATTTTATAGATGGTGAAATTAAAGCACCAATACTTTAGACAACTTTTTTGGGGGGGCAATATTGGGGATTGAATCCAGGACCTTCCTACTGAGCTACATCCCCAACCCTTTTTTATTTTTAAGAAAGGGTCTCACCAAGTCACTAAATTGCTCAGGCTGGGCTGGAACTTGTAATCTTCCTGCCTCAGCCTCCCAGAGTGCTGGGACTATAGGCACGTGCCACTGCTCCTAGCATAGACAATTTTTTATGTAGCAATAGAGGCAAGATCCAAAGCTAGAGCCAGTCACCCTGGTCACTCCTTGACACTGCCTTCTGCAGATGAAGAAACCCACACAAGAGACACACTTGATTTGCAGCAGTATGTGACGCTAGATGCAGACTCTTAAACAGACTTGGCACTGATGGTAATGACAACGACATCACAACACAGGCCACGTGGAAGGCTGCAAGGAGCAAGGGAGGTCAGGCCAAGGCCTGAGGATCCACAAAAATAATCAAGCTTGTTTGCAGAAATAATACAAAGAGTTAGCAAGAGGATGAGAGTTCCGAGGTGGAGGAAGGAAGTTGGCTGCCCGCGGAGGGGGTGGATAGAAGGGCTGATTGCAGAGAGCAGAGGGGACCTGCCAGTGCTGCAGCTGAAGCAGAGGCCCACAACCCTGAAAACACAAGGAAAAGCTCTGTCTCCAGACAAGCAGTGGTGGCAGCAATCCTGGAGCCACTTGGACAGAAGAATCAACATGGCACAGCAGTTAATTATGTGAAGGAGTCATGAGGGCTCCGGGGCTCTTGGTGGCCCAGACTGTGCCGAGAGAATGCACAGAAGGAGGGGAGGAGCTGGCTCAGTAGAAAACTCCGGCTCTTTGAAGACCTGGCTAGTGTGGTCACAGACACTCAACATGGGCAGGGACAGCCCGGGAACTTTTCTCCAGTGTCCATATGCGTGTGTACAGATACTTGTGTGTACATCCCAGAAGAATTAAATTTGGGCATTCACGGCTATTGAACTAATACTGTTAAGGACAGATAAGTTATAATGTAACAAAGGTTGAAAAATGGCCCATGCTGAGTTAAAGGAGAAAAACTGACCCTAAAGAGCTGGAGATGATATAAAGACCATTTTATGTGACCTGGTTTAATGCATAAATAGTAGATCATTTGGGTTATTTAGCAATTCCAGAGATAAACCTTAAGGTCACCACCAGGACTCTTACAGAGCAGTTGGAAGTTCATCCTGAAATTCCACATAATCAAAGGCCTTCCAAGGGTCATGGTCAACACTGAACAGCCTATTAATGTGCCATAGGGCCCAGCCCCTGTCCCTCTATCATAGGACCAGCACCTTGGAAGTGGCTCTTGGTGACCCAAAGTCAGCAACATGTCTCAGGTGGAGCTGGGTGGTCATCTGCACCAGGGATAAATGACTTCATCCTGTCCCTACACAGAAGCTGTCCTTCCTCGGGCACCTGGGAAATCAATCCCCACCGAGTCCAAACCCCAGGGCCTGACTTCCCCCGTTCCTTCTCGACACCTCTCCCGAGAGCCAGGCTGCTCCACGCTTTGTGACCTGAAAAATCTCTGGGAAGGCCATGGAGCCCTCCGCCCTCCCAGATCCAGTAGGAGGAGAGAACAGCACCGCGGGCCACAGGTACCTGGGTTCCTAGGTTTTGAGTCCCCGGGTT